GATGCTGAAAAAGTTATGTGTAAATTAAAAATTGATTATTTTATTATTTGATTTGATTCTTATTGGTGTATAATTATTAAATTTGTTTAACGTTTTAAAATGAACAATAATTAAAAACATTTAAGTAAGGTTTGTGACTGTACAAGTTTTTTATGGTTGGACAAATATTATTCAATTGTTTTTTGAATAATTTAATTTTTTTACTATTTTAATATTAAAACAAAGTTGTTATTTTTTTAGTTTGCTTATTAATAAATTTTTAATATAATACTGGTGATTCCGGAATCGGTTCGGGAACCGCCATGTTCCGGAATCAAAAGTTTGGGAATATTTTTTTTATGAAGTTCGGGAACCAATGTGTTCGGGAACTGATTGGTTCGGGAACACACCAATTTTAAGTTTGGGAATCAGGATGTTCCCGAACCGAGGTTAAAAATATTCCCGAATATTTTTTGATTCCGGAATCGGTTCGGGAATTTGATAAAAAAAATAAAATTCCCCAAATAATTTCCTGGAATATTCGGGGAGTGTTTCGACAACACTACTGTATAATTATTATATTAATAACAGTTTTATTGTTTACATTTTTGTTATTTATATAGTAGAAAATTTAAATTGATTTATTTAAACAGTTTTATTTATTTAAATAAACAACAATCGAATAATATTATTTATAAAATGTAATCCTTTTCACCAATGGTGTTATTTGAAGTTGGATTTTATATTAAAAATGCAGAAAATTAACTATACGTTTAGTTTTTTAATTATAATAAATAGCTTTTTTTTCTTTTTTTTTCGAAATACAGGGGGGCTAAAAAATACCGCTTCTGTCTTTTTAACAGCTTACATTTGATTTTCGAGAATTAAATGATATAATTTAATAAAATGTATTGTACTGTTTATTATGAAAGCTTAATATGTTTCATGGAGACTTTTTCTGTTTTAGGTGGTAATTTGTATTATTTTTTTATTATAATGTTATTAGTAATAACTATTAAATCGTTAATATGAGAACAATGCATTTTAAAATTATTAAAAAGATAAATTATATTATCAATTATTTGGAAAATAAAATGTTATAAAAACATGTTTTCCAAATAATATAATATATTATTTAATTTAGATTTATCAGTGTAATCAAATTAATATTGAAACCACAACAAAATACATATTACACGAACATGCTAATATACAAGTCAAAACAAAACAAAACTTTTCAATTTGTTACATTGTGTTTATTTAAATATTTTTTGTTTTAATAATATGTTACTTGTTTATACATTGAATAATTGTTATTTTTTAATATATATAAATAAAAATGTTGCATTTTAGCATTAAAAATATTGTTGTTATTACTAAATAAACAAATTATGATAAATCTTTTTTATTGTACTTGTATAATGTTTGATGATATAGTTGTGGTGTCGTTGAAAAAAATTATTATTGTTTTGTGTTGTTGTGTATTTTATGTTTAAAATAATTAAACTACTATTTCTTGTTACATACAACTTTTTAACAATCAATTTTGAGTGAAGATATTAATAATCTATGTGGAGACACAATGTAAACATTGAAATTATATTTCATTGAACTGTGTATTATAATACACATAATGAATTTATAAAAACTGTTAAAGTATTTTATACACTTCAAATTATAAAACATTTTAATTTGTTTAATGTAATTTAAATAATTTATAAATTGGTTACATAGGAATTAAAAATGCTGTTTCATGTGTGTTAATTTTCTAATGTTTTCTAATAATAAAATAAAAAAAACATCAGAATGTCTTAGAAAATGTTGCACCTATTTTTCTTATTCTTTATATTAGTCTCGTAACTCTCTTTCGTTTGAACTTCTGGTAATTTGACATTGGCTTTAATGTCTCTTACAAGTCCCTGAAAAGTCTCTGTAATGTTAATTTTGTTTTTTGCTGAAGTCTCATAAAAGAGTATTTTCCAGTCATCTGCAAGCTTCTTAGCTTCTTCAGTTGACACTTGCCTTTCCGCTTCCAAGTCGCATTTATTCCCACACAAAGCAATTGGGACGTGTTCATTCAAATCTTTATCAAGTACTCTGTACAGTTGTTCTCTGAAGTTATTAGCTTCTAAGAATGAAGTAGTAGACGTGATAGAGTATACAATGACATACCCATCACCAGATCGCATGTACTGATCTCGAAGGGCAGAATACTCTTCTTGTCCTGCAGTGTCCAGTAAATCAAGTGGAACCATTTCTCCATCGACTGAGATGCTAGTTTTGTATGAGTCTTCAATTGTTGGGTCATATATTTGTACAAAGTGTCCTGATACAAGCTGGACGGTGATAGCAGACTTGCCAACGGCTCCTCCACCTAAAACGACTAATTTGATTGCTGACATTTATCTTCTGATTAGTAAAGATGAGTGTGAGCTTTTTATAGTGTAGAATGTATCAAACAAAGAAGGTGAAGTTTTTGTTTTAATAATTTATTTATAACATGTCCGATTTATATTAAAACAACAACTTCACCTATTCAAATTTAATTCTCATTGGATAATTTATTGTTAAGAATAACTCTTATAATAGTGAATTATTGAGACTTCACCTTAGCTTTACTATATTTGTTTACTATGTTTATTAATTAAATTACTATTTATGTAATGTTATTTTTGAATTATTCAAAATGAATTAAGTGTTAATTAATTAAAAACTATTTTTTATTAGACTTGAAATTAGAACGTTAGTTTTATAAACAACTTGATATTAACCCATCACTCAGTGACGGTAAATATTTTATTAAGAAGATGATTTATCTGTCTGTTTGTACATTTATAATTTTGTAAATTTGTTTAGTTAATCAAATTAAACATATACTATTATCAAATGTATATTATTTATTTATTTATTTAATTATTATTTTTTGTGGAATCAAACTATAATAAAACGATAGTTAATCCAATTGTTAACTATCGTTTCTTAAACATTATCACAATTTACCATTATATTTAGTAAAATTAACCATTAATATAATACACGTTAAATAGTATAAAACCAATAAGAATACTAATTGTATATAGATAGATAAATATACCATTTTTGCTATTATATTTAAGGATATAACTACATAATATGTAGTACATATTAATTTATTATAATATAATAATTTAACTAATAATATTTAATAATTAGTATAATTAATTAAATTATTAAATTTAATTATAAATGTATAAATAATAAAATTAATATAAATTATAATATTTTTAACTAATGTTATTTAAACAGTACACTAAATTATAATAAGTCTTTTCCAAAATATCACAAACCTGAAAATTTGCCAAATAATTACATACCTTAATATCATTTACTATTACTTTTAATTATTTTTAATTATTTGAAAACTATTTTACTATTAGAAAAATAACCATACATTATAATAATTATAATTATCAAAAATACTAAAGCAACTTAACACACAAAAAACAACACTTAACTTGGTAAAAAAAGAAGAAATATTTGTCAACACATCAAAAATTATCAATACAAAAAGTTTCATTCAACTGATTTTTGTTGATAAATCATTTAATCAAACATTATGTACAACTGATTTTTTATAAACTGTCGTTTTATTTTTTATATTGCAACACATAATTATTTACTACTATATTTCAATAACACTACATCATAAACAAAAACGTTCAAAGTAGTCACTTTTTGATTATCAATTATCAATAATTTAATAACAATTTTAATTGTAGAAAATATCACTGTTGATCACAACGATTTTATTTAAAAAAATAGTACAATAAATAAAAAGTGGTATCTATATTATGTGTAAACTTGTAACATCGAACTAATTCTTTAAACGATAATACCAAGATTAAAACACTATTACTATTTACAACAATTTTAAATACCGAATTTTGGCTCACAAATATGTGTATATATAATATAAAAACCATTTTTTTTTCGTTAATCTAAAAGTTTAACATTATTTTTTGTTAAAAACGTTACATAAAATAGTTTAATAAAACATTTTAAAGGTTGTTACGAACAATAGTTGGATTGTACATTGTAAACTTTATAAGAAAACAATGTTTTCAATTATTCACATAACAAAGATATCAACACAATTGAACGTTTAATTAATTTAATAATTATTAATAACAGATATACAATATTGTATATACAAATGTAATCGTAAACAATTATTTCCAATTGAATATTGACTGTTAATGACTTTATTATTCTCAAATATTGATTATTATTTTGTGTAATTTGTTAGACATTTTGTTAAAACAAAGAAAAATCAAATAAAAACAATTGTTTAATTGTGTAACTAAGTCTATGTTCACAATTATCATTTAACAGCTATTTGTTGATAACCACATATAAGCGAGATATTATATACAATTGTTTGTTTAACTATAGTTTTATTTTTTTTTCAAATTATAACACATAACAACAAACACAATATTTCTATAACACCACAACTATTATGATAGAGTTAAATGGAGACATTTATCAAATAATATTATTCAATAATTAAATAACAACAGTTAGTGTTTAATGATTCATAGTTAATCACAATGTTTTATTAAAAACAACCAAAAAATTATAAATATCGTATCTTTTAAGTTTTTTAACACGTAAAATCAAATTAAACTTTAAACATTAACACTAAGACAACAATTTACAAAAATTTTATGTTATGACTTAAGGCTCACATGTACATGCACATAAGATATTAAAATTGATTGTTTTAAAAGTCCAAGGTTTAAATACAACATCTGTTGTATATTTAAAGATGTTAATAATAAAATTATGAAATGTTGTTTTGGTTGACAACAATCAAATAAACAATCAATTATCAAATAATACAGAAACAATTCAACTTACAATGTAAATCATCAAATACCCAAACAAAAAAGTCAAAAAGTGGTTTAATAAAAAAATAACATATTTCAATTTCAATCATTCAAAATAAGTGATTTTATGTTTTTTATTCATTATAAATTGTTCATTTTCTTGTTTCGGCATTTTACAAATATGGTTAAGATATTTTAAAAAAATTTTTGTTAATTCCCATAAAGTCGTCACAATTGAAAAAAAATATTAAATAATATATTATTTTATTATGTTTAAATTTAAATATATTATTCTATACAGATAAGGGAATCGATTTATATAAATTAATTTAACTAAAAAATATAATTTTTTCACTACAATTATAATTTGGCAAATTTTCACCTTTCTCAGAATTTGCCGAACATTTAGGTTTGTGAAATTTTGGCAAAAACTTATTATACATTTTAGTATAAATAATTTGATACTATAATTTTAGTTTAAAATACAATTAATGATACATTTTACAATAAAAATTCATTATTATTTATTAAAAATCTATTATTTTATGATAATGTAATAATAAAATAATAAATTATTTTTCATTGAAAAGTTTATTATAAAATTTATTTTTGTGTGACAATTTATAAATTAAAATATAATTAACGATTTTATTAATAAATAGTACAATCAACACTGTATCAAATAGCTATTATTATTAAGTAATATCAATCCCGTTTTTCACACTTAAATCTCGCAGATCAAATCATTTTTTTGACATTCGTTTCCACAAATTTTTTATCCAAGGAAATAAGGAAATATCGAGAAAATAAAAGGCGAATTATATTTTCCCGTTTTGTTAAAGGAAAGATAGTGATTAACTCAAAAGTACTTTTGAGAGGTTAACCGCAAATTTGACTTATCTCTTTTTTTCAGCAAAACAAACTATTGTTATTAATTGATTATAGTTTAAAGATAATTTAATAATTCACAAATTTGTATTTAAAAAACTGTAAACAGACTTACAAAACCATTGCCATTTAAAACTAATGTTCTTATTATTATTAACTTCTTTTAACTTTACATTTACTGTATTCTTTTATTTAATTATCACAATTAATTAACGTATACTATATTATAGCACTTCTTTGTTATTTTTCTGTAATTAATAAATTAATTAACGAACACTTTTAATTTCTCAAATAAATATGCTCGTTGATTACACATACTCGTTAAATAAAAAAATGTGTAAATTAAATCGCTTGAAATCCGGCGAAGAACTTTAAAACTGATAAACGTCAATGAGTTCACGTCGGCCACGCGGCAAGAAAACGCGCAGCGCTTCAGTAGCTATAGCAGAGCCGAACCAATTACCGAAGATAGCACAGAAAACACAAGAGAGTGATTCCCAGTTAGTTTGGGATACGATCTTAGCGAAACCTGTTGGGGATGATCGAGTGAAGACGAAAGTTCCTATTCCAGAGACTCGTCTGTTGCCAGAGAACTTTTTATATGTTGATGGGAAGACGCCGAATTTGTCATTACTGAGAAGTCATTTAGTTAGAGAAGGACTGTTACACCCCGACTTGTTGAAAAGAATCATTACAGAGGCAACTAATATACTTAAAAGTGAACCGAATATGATAGAGGCGCAAGCTCCTGTCATTATTGTGGGAGACTTGCACGGACAATTCTATGATATGATGACCGTATTCGACGTCTGCCCCCCAGAAAACTCGGAAAATAACTTCATCTTCTTGGGTGACTACGTCGATCGTGGTAATTTCTCGACTGAAATTCTGATCTATTTGTGCGCTTGTAAAATTAATTACCCAAAACGATTCATGCTCTTAAGAGGAAACGTTTGTTATTTGTCTTTTAGAACAGAGGTATTCATATTATTGTAATTATTGATATACTATTATTGGTGGTGTGATTTCTATAAAATCGAAAATGTGTCGTTTATTATGTGTATGTCAAGATTTGGAAATAACTCCTCGAGCGGTAGAAATAGACATATTTACTATATATTTACTATATATTTATTATATATTTATTATCTCTATTATTATAAAATTACTATACAATTACTATACAAAAATGTTTCACTTTTATTATTAATTATTATACAATTACTAATAATTGTTGCTAAATAATTTATATCACAAATATTATTTATATACTATATTATATATTATTAATTTTAATAAAATAAATACTTTAATCTTTATGATACAATACAAAAATGAAGATTAGAATTCAAAAATTTATTTATTATTATAAATTAAGACTTATTATCGAAATCTATTTATTATTTAATACTTATAAAGAATATTATTTCTTTTTATTTGAGTTAATAACATGTTAGTAAGTATTAATTCGACATTTTATGATTTCTATAATATGAATTATTTAATTATTTATTAAAATAAGTTTCACATATGAAATACACGAAGCTCTTTATTTAAGACTTTATATAGAAAATATACTCCATCATCTCGATGGTAATTTTGATATAAAAATTTATCATATGAAATATAAGTCATTAAGATATGAAGTAATGATATACACCACAAGCTCATCTCCAATTATAGTAAAACAGATATAGTATAAATATAGTTAAATTAAAACTATAACGAACACCAAGACTTATCCAATAGCATGAGAGTCGGATCATGGCAGAGAACATGACATTTTCGAATGAATTTATGCGCAAGTACAATTCATCTGAACTCTTGAAACTTCTGTTTACCCTCTTTGATTCTTTTCCGATAGCAGTACGTGTTGGGACGACCGAATTAGGTGACTTCTTGTGTTGTCATGGGGGGTTTAGTCCGGACATGGATCGTATAGCTGACTATAGTACTATCAATCGATTTGTCGAACCACCCACATCAGGGCCATTAAGTGACATTTTATGGTCCGACCCTATTGATGAACCCACCGAAGACGAATTAGATTCCGAAAGTGCTGAAAATTGGTTGTCGATAGATTTTGTAGAGAACACGAGTCGTATGACAAGCGTGATGTATGGAGCGAAGAGTTTATTGTCGTTTTTAGAGAAGAATAATATCACATGTATAGTACGAGCGCATCAAGTGATGGAAGAAGGATATAAGCTCCACTATTTCTTACAAGATGTGGATGTCCCGCCATGTATCACTGTCTTCTCAGCGCCGAATTACTGCGATATGTATCACAATAAAGGATCATTCATGAGACTGATGCCTAACTCTATTTGCTTTGAACAGTTTGATGCGGTCGAACATCCAATGTACTTACCTATGATGCAAGACTCAATCACTTTCTCATTGGACGCGCTGATGGATCAATTAGTCGAAGTTGTTAGTGAACTGATTTTAATAACAAAATACACTGCGGATGGAATGAAGGAAAAACAAGAGGACGCGGAACTTGCGAAAAAGATCAAAGAAATGATAGAAAAGAACTCAGTGAAAGACCCGTCGTATAAAAGAATGGCTAAGATTAGAAAGGAGTTCATGGAAAATAAAGAGAAGAACGACGCCTCTTTAAGAAGGCGAGAGAACTCGATAAGTTCAACGAAAGTAAACCGAACTTCGGTGACGTCGACGGTGGCGAGAAGAAAGAAGTCTCCGCACGGGAAAAAAGAAAAAGAGCGACTACTCTCGCAAATTCTAATAACCCAATGAAAAAGGAAATCATGCAACTTTTATAAGAAATTGGTTGGGTATTTTTTTGGTTGGTGTGAAACGGATGATAAATCTCGAAATTATTAAATTATGAGATTGAGGTTTTTGAAAACCTCAATCTCTGGATTCGGGTTTGTTGTGTTGAGTCTGGGATTCCATTCACAATTTCTTGTTACAAAAAGATTACTAATGAAAAAAAAAGTTATAAGTAAATTATTAACATGTAGATAATTACCGATGGGCAAACAAACATTTGCCAAGTGAATAAATCTTAAAAAAAGAAAAGGATTAGTTTGCTATT